TCACTTTTAGGAGTATAGCTACATCAAACAGGAGGAAGAATTACCATTATGATTCAGGGGTACATCGCTGGTGGTAAAGAAGGGTCCACGCCGAGAACTACTAAAGTTGATCATCGGAAAATAGCAGATCACTGTACAGACTTGAACCTCACTTAATACACAAGCATACTTGGTATCTGGGAGAGCCCCCTTCTACAAAAGAAAGATAAATAACACTTTTAAAGAGTTTTTCCTACTTGGTGGTGGGGGTACTGGGAATTGAACTAAGGACCTCACACTCACCAGGCAGGCGCTGTGCTGCCTAGCTATAACCCCGGTCCTAAAGAGTTTTGTGAAACCAATGGATCTACTTTGTTGCTTCCCAAATGAATATATACATAATGTAGTTTCTACCCTCCATTGAATTTTAAGTCCATATGTAAAAAGCTAAAATGGTTTCTGTAGTCAGGTGTGCATTACACCTGTAATCCCAGCCCTGAGAGGCTGAGACAGGAGGATCACTACCCTGGGCTGCACATTGAGGCCCTATCTTAAAAAACAACAAAAGTAAACAGTCACCAAAAATAACCATTTTCTTTATTAAAATTTGTCTCTCCTGAATTCATAGCCCTCTGTGAGCCAAGTATGGTGAAAAGACAATGAAACAGGAGTCATACGAAGCATGTAATGAATTTACAGTATGCTGGGTGTTAAAACACTAAAATAAATTTCAGTCCCCAGCCTGCAGGAGCCTATGTGGTGGCATTTGGTGGGGAGGGGAGGTTGGCATGTAGGAAAATGATTCTCTGTTAGCTCCAATTGAGTAAGTTACTTTCTGGGGATTCTGATATGGCACTTTTTATCTAATCGCCCGAGATCTCAGATGGCGGGGTTTCTCCAGCTTTCTGAACTCTGGACCCTTCTCCTTCTGTCTGCATTATTCTGTCCTTTACAAGGTGCTCTCCCTGTAAGCAGCAAAAACCATGAAAAGGACCACTTTTTGGTGGATGCTGCTCTGGAACTTACCTCTACATTAACATTTCATGAAGGTGTCATTATACTCTACTGCAGGTAATTTGAGAACGCATGAATACATCAGAACCAGAGAGAACTACCTGCGCGTCCTCTTCTTCTGGGCCTGCCTCTGTATGTCCTATTAAATGTGAGAGGATTGGGCAAGTAGTCCTTACCTCCAGACCAAGAACGGACTCTTCCTCAGAATTCTCTTCTTCCTAGTGATGTATTATGAAGGAGTCACACAGCCAATACAAAATAGGGTACAGTGGTCCAGAGAAGGGTTTAAATGATTGGGGAGAATTTGAAATCTTGAGAAGGTGATCAAAGAAAGAAAAGACTGAAAAAAAAACTTCAAAATATGCTCAAAAATCAGTTTTATAAATGATCTTTCTAAATTTTTCAGCATAGATTAACACTTATTCAGGAAACCTTGAGGGTCCACAGACTGATAAGCCAGAAGACTGAAAAATGTTTTTAAAAGAATTTTTTTTTTAGAAACAGGGTTTTAAAATACTATAGCTCAATTGCTCAAACCGTAAAAGTTAAAGAGATTCAAATTTTCAGTTTCATAATCACCTATCCTGAGACAGGTACTCATTTTGCATTGGGGATCCAATGATGTAGCACTTGGGAAAAGATAATGGCCTGGTCCCTGCCACTAAGGGGACAGTAATCAAGGAAATACAATAAATACGAAGTACACCTTAGGAGAGTGACTATGAAAGAAACCACCAGGTACTACTGCCATTTTCCACCTAATGATATTTTGGTCAATCATGGAACGTATATGCCCTTGTGGTCTAATATGATTACATTGCTTAGTGCCATCTTAGCTGTCTTAGTTTATGTAAGTACACGCTGGGATGTTTGCACACCGATGAAATCTAATGGTGCATTTCTCAGAACAAGTCCCTATGGTTAAATGACCCATGACTGTGTATATAACAGGGGTAGTAATGGGAGACCTGACCTGTCTAGAGCAAAATCACTGTCAACCTTCACAGAATGACAAAGCATATTGAGAAATCAGTAAGTAGAATTCCACTGATTCAAAATTTTGGATTACTTCAGATCTATTGCAGTTATAACACGGAAGTCATCAGTCACTGTCCCTATGCCTTTCTGTGGGTGAGGCCTCCACAACCAAGGCCTGCTTTCAGTTTTAGCTCTGCTGGCCCATCTGTCCAGAGCTGCGCTGATTCCCACACTCATCCCACTCACAAAAGTCTGACAAAGAGCAGCCAATTCATTTACAACAGGGGTACACCCTTCCAGTGCCTGGAGTTCTAGTGACTACAGCTCCCAAGGTGCACAAGAAGCCAGGAAGCTGGAATTTTCCTGCCAAAGATGCTGATCTTATCTCGTACATGTTTATGCTCCTTTACTTCACTCAGAAGAGATAATCTTATCGCAGAGTTGTGAGGGTCCTTCCTCCTAGAGCACACACACTGACTCCAGAGGCAAAGCTGCACATGAAGTTAGCCTAAAACCCCTGCTCACTACAGAGGGAGGGTGTGAGCAAGATCCCTTAAAATACTTAGAAGAACTGAAATGCCTATAAGCACTCCAGAAAATACCACTGAAAATACAAATAACTTCTTTACTAATATAAATCATTTTTATCTACTTATTACACACATCACATAAGCATTTCTGCAGAGCTGGTATTTGAATGAATTGAAGCAGAAACTAATGAATCAATGACCAAAAGAAAATTGAACTCATAGACAATTCGGGGTCACAGAGGGAAGAAACCTGGTTTTTTTCTTTTCTTTTTTTGGTACCAGGAATTAAACTCAGGACCTTGCACTTGCCAGGCAGGCACTTGAGCCACTGAGCTATATCCCCTGCCCGAAACCTGTATTTTGAATAGAAATAGCTAATGTTAGACTTCCCAATAGTCTAACCTTGTTATTACTTTCCCAACACAGGTGTTGATTCAAATTATTGATTGAAATAAAATAATTACAGAATCCAAAATATTTACCCTGGATACCATCAAAACCAATATTTCTTTCATTGGAGCTAATGGACCCTTCACAGTTTACAATATTCTTTAGAAGTTTCCATTCTTATTTCAAGAATTGATTGCTTGGTTGTTTGTTTGCTATGCTGGAGAATTAAATCTAGGCCCTCATCTATACCATCACTCTACCATGGTGCTATACTCCCAGCCCCTCTTTAAGAGTTCTTTAAGCTTTTGTTTGCACTTTGACAATGATTTTAAACTAATTATTAGAAACATACTATGGCATCTTTGGATATTTGTATTTATGATTATATAAATAATCCCATAGTAGCATTAATTTAGATATTCCTATCGTTTTGTTTTGAGGTCATGTATCATTTTTGTTGTTTTTGTGTTGTTTTGATTTTGTCTTCATTGTTGTTTTGTCAGTTTTTTTAATTTTTTTGGGGGGGGTACCAGGAATCGAACTCATGACCTCACACTCACCAGGCAGGTGCATGTGTCACTCAGCCATATCCTCAGCCCCTTAATTTTTAAAATAAAAATAAATATAAAAGAAAAAGGAAGCGAATAGATCACTCTAATGCATGTGTTATAAACATGACTTACTAAGACCAACTGAACTCATGGTTTGCAAGTTTTCAGATTGGTTTGAATAAAGAATTTCATTGCATGGCACACTCTGCCATGAGCAGGCTCAGTAGGAAAAAATGCGTGCTGTAGTTGTTACTAGATTCGCATTGCACGGGATAAGAGGATTAAACCAACTCTGCCATGTATGTTGTTAATTTCAGCTATTGGCTCTACAGCTTCATTCTTATTTAACATGTAAATATGTTCCAGTACTTTAGTTGTATTGGAGCTATAAATACAAAGCTGTCATGTTTTATACATAAATTTATTTTATAAATGTATTTTATTTTATATATAAGAAATACAATAAAGATAATTTAGGCAATTAAGTTGAGATTTGGAAATATTTCATCCATTTGAAAGGGATTTATGTATTACTCTTGACAAACAATGACCTGACCCCGCACTTTTCAACATTTTTGTCAAGTCAGTCGTCTTTGTTACTATATCATGAATCACTCAGGTATTTTTAGGTCATATTAAGAAATTTTTATATGGCACATAAAAAGAACAGAGACAAGGTAAAATATTATGTTTTGGATACATGTATTATTGATCCTTGTTTTGTGAAGTTTATTTTAACCCAATTTTTTTACAAAAATATAGATACAAATTTTTCTTTATATAATAGGATTATATTGTACGATTTCTTTTCAGTTAATAGAGAAAAGCATAACACTGACATATTCAAAACTGACAATATATTCTCTTTGGATTTTGGAGTAAATATATATTTCAATTTCAATATATATTGAAATATAATAACATTATGATACCAGAAACTGACCTAATATGAAATACTTTTATTTCCTGGTGTTTTTAGTTGTTTAATTTGATACTTAAAAATTAACTAGGATTTTTTTTTTTTTTCCTTTTTGAGACAGGATCTCACTATGCAGTTCAGCCTGGCCTTGAACTCACTTTGTAGCCCAGGTAGGCCTTGAGCTCTCAGTGATCCTCCTGCCTCAGCCTCCTGAGTGCTGGGATTACAGGCATGTGCCACCAAGCCCAGTTAACTAGGATTTTTTAAAATAATATTTTTGCTTTGTTTATAAATAAAGAAATCAAGGAAATAGTCCCAGTTTATTATTTGGTTACATACCTCAACAATTATTATATGTGATAGTTAAATCATTATTTCTAATATATTGAAGGTCAAATTAGGTATTTTTATCACTGTTTTCAGCATAAATTTTCTCAGTCCTAGAATTATATATATAGGCAATATAAGAATTTTCAGTATGTGAATAAAACCTCTAGATGAAATTGACATTGCTGTAAGTCATTTGCAAATAATTGTGATCACATTTCTCACTGATTTATTTAATGCAGGATCTTCTATCTTCAAAAAATCTTCCATCTTTAAAAAATCTTCTATCTTTAAAAAATCCATACATAAAAAAATTACAAATAACTTAAAATTGGAAACCACCCCTCCAACAGGGATATTTAGCTGAGAATCAAGTGCCGGCTCATCAGAGATCTAGCGCAGCGTGGTGTGCCGCTCAGCACGCACTCAGAGACTCTCAAACTTCCAAGTTGAACTGGAAAAAAAAAATGTATTTAAGTGATTTCACTTCCAACCTTTAATTCTGAAAGTAGAAACGGTGATAGATTCTGCTACTATCTTCTCCAACCCACCATGTGTAATGTAAAACTCCAGTGGGGAAATGCCGACCCCAACCATTCCACACATCTCACCCTATTCCACTGATGTCTTCATAAAGACAGTCCCCTCTGATAATCGCACTGGTGTTTTGAAATCCTGATGTTTAGGAAGTCCTTTCTGAGCAAGTCACTTAACCTCGCAGGACCTGAGATTTCTCATGTGGAGAATGAACAAGTTTCAATAAATGGTTATTTTTTTAAAGTCCCACCCAGAAGTAGAAGTCTGTGATTTTTATGCATTATCTAAAGCATTAGTTTTCATAACTGTTTAACATCAGAACAATGTTTTGAAACAAAATAAAACAGAAACACTTAATATATATAGCACATAAAAGTGAAATTGAGAGTACTCAAGGTCTGCAGAACACAGTTTGGAAACCACTGATCGAAAGCTCTCTTTTTAAAAACTCTTTCCTCTTTTCTTTGTCTCAGTGGAGAAAGAAAACATCTGGAAAGGATCCACCATATTAGTTTCCCTATGCGTACACCAGAACATATGTATTAAGTCACCTGACAGCCTTTTCTTCTCCAGATTAAATAGCCATTATGAGTCCCACTTTCCATCCCTTTAAAATATATTTCCTTTTTAAAAAAAAAAAAAATCTTTGGTTTCTGTAACTCTTTATTAAAAAGTAAAGTTACATACCAACCATGATCTCTAAGAAAAGCCAAGTGTAGCAAAAGGATTATTTGCAGCTCTATTATGTGATATTCTTACTCTTAATGCACTTCAAGTTGTTCCCTGTTAATAACAGCATTCCACACTGCCTTGGACTCCACCAACCAAGAGCTCAGGATGATCTGCAAATTTTTTTAATGGAACTTGTTATATCTACTCCACAATTTCCCAACTAATCCTCATGTAATTTGTCACTGTTCTCCTGGAGCCTCTGCAATTTTTCGTATTGAATATAATTCTGTTTTCAACAGAGTCTTTTTTTAATTATTAAAAGTCACTGATTTTTTCTACTGTCTTCCCAAAGACCTCATCCAACTTCAGAATGAATGTGAATACTCCCTAGTTTACAGTTAAAGTTGTAGTCTAATAAAATTTTAATTAACTTAAAAAGAATTTGCATATGCAGTGTGACACAGGCTGAAGTGCTAACCCCCAAGTACTTCAGAATGTAACATTATTTGAAGACAAGGTCTTTAAATGGGTGATTATATTAAAATGAGGCCATGGGTGGGTGCTAATCTAACCTGACTCTATAAATCGAGGAAATGGATGCACACAAGAGAGACACTAGGTATTCCTGCACACAGAGAAAAGGCCATAGACACAGCAAGAAAGCAGACAATTACAAGTCAAAGAGAAGGGCCTTAGAAGAAATAAGAGCTGATGACACTTTGATCTTGGACTCCCGGCCTTCACAACTGTGAGAAAATAAATCACTGTTGTCTAGGCCTCCCCATCTAATTTTGCTATGACGGCCCTGGCAAAGTAACACAAAGTTGAGCCTATTCTGTGCATGACTTTATGCAGCCCCTTAGAGCTCAGCAAGGAACCCATGCCATAACAGAAAAAGCTACAAAAAGGCACAAGTACCCATAACTCAAGTCACAATAGGTCATACCAGAAGACCTGAGCAAAAATCCCTAGAAATACCCAGGAAGTAGGAATTCTTTCCATCTAGGGGATAAGAGAAGACTAAAAAGAAGAGAAGGCATCTTCACTGAATCTTAAAGGATGAACAAAATGGAAAGGAAGGGTGAGGGACAGGTCACAATCTGGGGAACTAGGACATTTTGAACATGAACAAGGGGGCTGGGATTTAGCTCAGCGGCAAAGCGCCTGCCTGGCAAATGCAAGGTCATGAGTTCAGTTCCCAGTACCCGAGGGAAAAAAAAAAAAAGAACATGAACAAGGTCCATGCTACTACATTCATAATCCCTACGATAGCAACCCCAGTTTTTATTTACCTGTGGACAAGTTTGGCAATTTAAAAATCTAACATCAAGACCAATTGAGCACCCTTTAAAAAATATACAGATCCTCAGGCCCCATTCCTAGCCTGCCAAATTAGGAGCACCAAGAATGATAATCCAGAATCTTTAACCAGTTTCTTAGGAGAGATAGAATCAACTTCAAGAGTTTAGAGATTCCTGTCCTAATAAGATGATGACTTAATTTCTAGTGAATGAGAAAAAACACAAAGCAGAAAATCTCTTACAAGTTTAATAATGATTTCAAGTGAGTTTGTATTTTATTAATTAGAATCAAATGCACAAGTACAAAAGGAATACACCTATATTATTTTGACATTTATATAGACATGTGAGATCTTATTTATTCAAACTGCAGATAGTGTCGGGTTACTTATAAGAATTCTGCCTCTATTTACCACGTGTTCATGGGTTTCTGACTAGCTCTTTCTCTCCCCTGTCCCATTCTTACCCCTCCGATGAGAAGGTATAAAAAGAACTACAAGACAATAAATTTTTGTTGTTTGAACATGGTATTCTGCTGTGTCAGTACTAGAAAACTAATACAACCATCTACTATGGGAAGGATCAGAGGTAGTTTTTTGTTCTTGTTGTCATTTTTGTTGTTGTTATTTTGGATTTCTCTCCTTTTCTTCTTTTCTCATCTTCCAAAAAACTCCTAAATTCAAAGTTTCTCCTGCTAAAGTGATGAAAATGCCCCGTACTTCTTAAAGATTCCGTGAAATTATTTAGGTAAAATGCAAAACACAGTGTTAGATCCCACCCTACTCCTATCCACCCCATCACACAAATAGAAACTCTTTTAAAATATTTTTAAGGGGCTGGGGATTTAGCTCAGCAGCAAAAGTGCCTGCCTGGCAAGCGCAAGGTCATGAGTTCGGTTCCCGGTACCAGAGAAAAACCAAAAAAAAAAAAAAATTTTTAAAATGTGAGTGAATTCTATTTCTTATTTCTTTTTATTAGTACATATTTGCAGTACATAATATTTACAGTGTGGAATTGGTACATGTACATAACACATCTTTCTTTTGTTTGTCTTTTTGAGGGAGGGTCTCGCTATGCAGTTCAGGCTGCCCTTGAGCTCACTTTGTAGCCCAGGCTGGCCACGAACTCACAACGACCCTCCTACCTCAGCCTCCGGAGTGCTGGGATTACACACGTGTGCCACCACTCCTGGCCGTAACACATTTTAATTCCCTTTTTAACCCCCTTTCCTTCGCTTCCCTTCTCCCTCCATCTCTTGATCTCTTCTCATCTGAGAAAGATCGATCTCCTACTTCCTATTATCTATCTCACATTTTTCTCTTTATGTATAATTTGGGTTTCTCACATAAGAGAAAGCATGCAGTATTTAAGCTTGTATGTCTGATTTCTTTCTTCTAAGCATTTTTTGAAGCTGGGCCGTTCCGTTAGCTTTTTCTCAACTCACATTTTAGCTAACGCTGGAAACTCACCTCGAAAAGCTCTACGTCAATCAAAAGCTTACACTAGAACCTTATACCAGTCAAAAGCTTCTGCCTTTACTGATCCCTGAGTGAGCCGTTTTGGTTACCAGTTACTCAAGCGGGTAACAGCCACTGCGTACACGTTGGTGAGCAGCCGTTCTTCGTTTCTGCTGGGTTTTCCTACCTTCAGCCTTGAGAATCACCTCCAGGAAATCTTCCCAATCCTTCATTTGAATTCCTTTGGTTCCTATGTTCTATTTCATTCATTCATTCCCTCACTCACTCACTCATTCACTCACTCACTCTCTCATTCACTGTGAAGGTCTAATCCATGTCGGGACTTGTTTCAGACACTGACTGAACAAACAGGCCTCTCTGCCCTCCCGGAGTTGCTATTTTAGGGTGGAAGGCAGTAAACAGCACTAAGGAGAAAAGTTAAGCAGAGGGATAATGCCGTTTGGTGTGGGACAGTGAAGACCTCACTCGGGAGGAATTTGATCAGGGATATGAAGAAATTGGAACATGGGCCAGTCACCTGCAAAGAAAACTCCAGGCAGTTTCTTTCTTTCTCAGCAGTAGGGATCTCCTATTATCTCAGTTTTGTCACCCCTACTATGGGTTGAACTGTGTCCCCAGGAAAGATATGTTGGAGTCCCACCCCTAGTAGCTCAAAATTTGATCTGATTTAAATACAGGATTTTTAGAGAAGGAACCAAGTTAAAAATGAAGTCTTTAGGATAAGTCCTAACCCAATAAAACTGCTGTTCTGGTAAAAAGGGGAAATTTGGACAGAGAAATATGCATTAAGGGGAAAACACTCTGTTAAAATGAGGAAGAGATCAGAGTGATGCATTTACTATCAAAAATACCAAAGACTGCGGCAAACCACGGAAGGACAGAAGACAGACATGGAAGATATTTACCTTCTCAGCCAACTCCAACCCTGTTAAGACCTTGATCTTTGACCTCTGGCCTCCAGAATTGTGGGATAATTCATCGTTGTGCTTTAAGCACAGTGTTCTGCTACATCAGAGGAGGGTACTGCTGGAAGGGTCAAAGACTGGCTACTCCCTTACCAGGTTCACAGGAGAAACCCCTATTACGTGGGGTTTCCTGTCTTGCTGGATTACTGTAACTACCTTCTTCCTGTACCCCCTCCCTCTAGTCCTACTGTCTTAAACCATTTTTATAATACTATCTTACAGGTTCACAAGCTTTCACCTGCTTGTGTCACCGGATTTGTGCAGACACAAAACCCTTAGGATCCAGCCTCCGTGTACCTCTCCAATCTCTTTCTCTCTTCTTTGCCTGGAGTTTCCAACTCCTGGCCACACGTGGCTCAATTCCTGCTCATCCTCAGGTTCAATTTCATCACAGTGTTCACTGCAAAGCCTCTCAGTGTCCCCAAGACGGGTTTTGGGTCTACCTGCGTGTCCTAGGAAGCCCTTGCGTTAATACTGCTGTGGTATTTAAAACACAGCACATCTAAGCCCTGCTCATCTGACTCTTCCTTGGGACTGTGAGCTGCTATCTTGTTTATATGTCCAGGCACTAAGGAAGTGCCTGGCACTTGAGATACACTCCCATTGGATGAATGAAAATTAATGAACAAGTTTTTTGTGGTTTTTTTTTTTTTTCCCTTAAGAGGTGGGGTATGGACGGATGACCTTTGCAGGGATTTCCCAGTCCTATGCAGAGCCACTGGAGTTGGATAATGCTGCACCTCTCCCTACGGTTGCAAGAAGAAACTGGATTAGACATTAAAAAGCTGCTCCTTGTGTTGCAAGACTGTGAAGAATAAGGGAGGGGACTGTCCAGCAATTTTTCAACCCGGGGCTGACCAATATTTTGCAATCTGTTTGCTGATAGAAAGTGGCCTCTTCGACTGTCGCCCAAGCCTCCAACTCTGTAACTGCATGTGCCTGACCTGACAGCATATGCAATTGTGGCAGCTAACCATGCAATCTGTCCTGGGCTTAGGTCTCCAAAAATAAGTGTTTTTGAAGTTTTAAAATTATCTGCACGCACTTATAAATGGTAAAGAGTTTAGGAAAAGAGAATAAGACAGAGAGAAACAACTTTATTTTTTTTAATATGCCCAACTAGAGGAAGACGGGAGTGATAACAGTCAAAAATAACCAGGATTAGGTCTCTTTTTGCAAATTCCTGAATGGGAAAAATGTATCAGAATTTCCAGTCCTCAAGAAATAGGGCCTGAAAAAAAAAAGTCTTGTGAGCTACAAGGAAGAAAAAGCAGAGGGGGAGGGGAGCTGGCTCTGCGCAGCAGGAAGTCTTCAATGACCATCGAGTTATGAAGAAACAACTCTGCTCTGAAGTCCTTATTCGGAGCGCTAAACTCGATTTTACCAAAGAGCAATATAAAGGCTCCGAGCAGCCTCATCGCGGTGTTGGGAAAACAATTTGGCTTCCCTGTGTAATAAAGCAAGAGAGCTCCGACTGGGTAGTGGCCCAGACCGGTGTAGGGGTTGTATTTGCAAGTCAAATGAGCCCAATGGGCGAGCCGACTCGTTGTGCCGCGTTCTGCAAGCAGGGTTATTATTATCGCCTATTGCTCCACTGAACAATTTCACTGAAAAGGAAGAGTGCCGGCAGTGTGTTTGTGTGTGTGCGCGCGCACCGTACCATACGGGACGTGCCGCTACGTGCCCACCTCCAGAACGACTTTATTTACGGAGCGATTACCATGTTATCTATTTGTTTTCCTTTTCCAGCAGCAGCAGCCCTACTCAGCCCTCGAATTTCTTAATTACAAACCCGTTTGCTTCTGAATCAACCCCAAACCGTCAGGCTGAGCCCGGAGGGAGCCCGTGCAAGTTTGCACACACATATACACAGCCCCCCCCGCCCCGATCAAGGGCAACAGCAGAAGCAAGTAACTGTGTATGTGCAAAAAGGTGGATCTGGGGACGAGGATCGCTGAGTTTGTTTACAGAGCAGAGCCTCAGCTCGGATGCCAAAGCTACCAAGAGCTGCAAACGCAAACTTAGCAGAAGCACACGTACCCGGGAGCGCCGGGCGGAACCGAAAGTGCGGAGCGGATCCCAGGGCGCGGAGTGGAGGGCCCGGCCCTGCGAGCGCGCTCGGTCCACCTGCAGCCGCTGCCGCTCCCCGCCCCCAGCTCCTGTCCTTGAAAGAGGATGGGACACAATCATCCACGCGCGGCATGTATGTAGATTAGATTCACTTGCTGACCCTCTAAACACACGAAGGCTCGCCTCGGGAAAGCGCTCCCAGGAGAAAGAGCATTAGTTGTGCAGGGCTTTAAAAAAACAACAAAAAAAAACCCTCGGGAAAGTAGGAGCATTCTTGGGTGCCGGGCGGCGGCTGCGGCGGGCGGCGCTGCAGGACGCTCGGGAGGGCGGGAGCGCGGGGC